CAATGGATCCTCTGCAGTGAATGGGTGCCGTCAGAATGAGAGTCCAAACAGCTGATAAAAACACCACCATAATCCACACCACTCCAGTCCATCAGTTAACATTTAGTTTTAAACTAAAATATGAGTCCACAATCCATAATAACGCTTCCTTCAGTGAAAAAATGTTCTGGTCTGAATCAGGAGAGAAATCTGCACAGGTCAAGCACCATTTAAACAGTCCAAAACAGCTCTAAACAAATATGTGGGTGGATTTTGATGTGAGAGACAACAGGAGATGCACTTTTTCACTGGAGGAAGCGTTATTATGGATTATGGATTATATTTTGAATCAACAGAATCAACGGTTTGAAGTTAAAACACCTGGATGATGGATGGATGCTTCTTACAAACACACATCTTTTGTCTTCTCCAGATGTTAACTGATGGACTGGAGTGGTGTGGATTATTGTGATGTTTTTATCAGCTGTTTGGACTCTCATTCTGACGGCACCCATTCACTGCAGAGGATCCATTGGTGATGCAATGTTGCATTTCTCCAAATCTGATGAAGAAACAAACTCATCCTAATCTTGGATGGCCTGACATTTTCACCAAATATCATTTTACAACTATTCCTTTAACATGTAAAATGTACATTTTGGAAACTGGACCAAACAAGTTGGTAACCCGTGCTCATTAAATTATTCGTATGACATCACCTGGCAGAGGCGGAGCCAGCAGCTGATTGGACAAGAGCTGCAGGTGCTCAAGTGTGATGTCGCGCACGGCGGGGATGTGGAAGAGACGTGTGAATGTGTGAGGGCTCTTGGGAGCAAAGATGTTGAGCAATGCCATGCGGCAGTAGAGACGCGCCAGAGCACTTTCACAGCGCAGCAGCTCCCTGAAACACACATACACACAGTACTGAATGTTACTGAAACATGGTGTTTAAAAGAAGAGCTCTTTCAGTAAAAACCTGATATTTTTTAATTGACAATAAGAAATGTGACCCTGGAGCACAAAAGCAGTATTAAGTCGCTGGGGTATATTTGTAGCAATAGCCAAAATTACAAGCATGGGTCAAAATGATTGATTTTTCTTTTATGCCAAAAATCATTATGATATTAAGTAAAGACCATGTTCCATGAAGATATTTTGTAAATTTCCTACTGTAAATATATCAAAACTTTCTATAAATGCATTACCGGTGAATCTGGATGTTGCTGCTGTCTAGAGACACCAGGCCGTTCGCTGCAGCCCTGCGGGATCCTGCCGGCGGCCTCTCCAGCGTCTCAATGGGGTACCAGTACCGAACTAACACTCCCTCACTGCGGAGATACGTCTCCACCTGCACCAGCTCACTGGCCTGAACACACACAAATCAAGCCAGTCAAGTTTCTGATTGGTTGTGTTTGAAACAGGTGCATTTAAAAGAGGCTAAAAGGTTATCACAGCCTGCAAAGAACATGTATGGACTATTTCAATATTGTGGGAAAAAATGCTAAAATATTTATATGTATAAATGTTAATATTATTTATACATCAAGTATTAATACATCAGTTTGCTGATTTTACTAGAAAAAATATTGTTGTGAAAGGATGCTTCTCATTATGTCCTAAAATCATCAAAATAAAAACTGACAAAATATAAAAAAATGAAATAAAATAATGAATAAAACATCCGCAGAGTCAATATTCATGAATATGCAAAGTATTTCAATAATACTTTATTTTCAAATAGAATTTGTAATTTTTATTTACATTTTTATGTTTTTATCCTAGTAAAAAATCTGACTTTTGCAGATTTTTTTGCTGATAAAAACTGAAAAACATAATAAATAAATAAATATATATATATATTTGTAATAATAATTATAATAGAAAGCTCACAAAAAGGTGTATTAAAAATAAATAAATAAATAAATAAAATAATATATATATATATATATATATATATATATATATACTCAGCAGTACTTAAACCATATTCTAAAGAAAATAGAAATAATTATGAAACTACATATAAAGATGTACTTAAGTCCTACTTAAGTGGGTCAAAAAGCACTTTAAAGTTCAGCCAAATGCATTTTATATCATTTTAAATTATAATACTGCAATTAAAACACTATTAAGTGTCTGAAAACATTGCATTCTGTTTGCATTCAGTATATTCTTTTAAAGTACATAATATGTACTCTTTTTAAAGTATGCTAAAATGTGTTTAGCCGTTGCAAATAAACAGAGACATGCGTTCACTCACCCAGCTGAAGCGCTCCTTTGATCTGGTCCAGGCCGGACTTCCTTTTTTGATTATTGTAGGAAAAATATAGAACCTCTTTGGTCATTTTTGAGCGAGATGCTAACGGTCTAATCAGATTCAATGATCTATGCTAAGCTAAGCTAAAAGTGCTACCGCCAGAACCGGAGACCGGCTGAATGGATTAGAAAACGGTAAAACTCAACTGTTTAACTCTAGGGGAGTTGGAAAATTAGCCTATTTTCAAAAATAGTGGAGTGTTCCTTTAAGGGCCTGGTTATGAGCTCTTCATACCCTAGGAATATCTTCATCATCTTCATCATCGCTCTCATCATCAGCAATCGGTGGCGGATGAGCGTTTGGCCCGGAGACGACCAGATTCTCATAACTCAGTTCAACCTTATAGTGACAAGAGGCATCACTGCTGTACTCTGTGAACAAAACAAAATAAGAAGAACAAGATTTAACCCACATCAAATTTAAATAACATCTGCCTTCCTGATTCTGCCAGATAATGAGTTTTATTCTGTAGTAGGAGGGAAAAATTTAAAAGATTCTAACCAAAAGTTTGAAATAATTAAGATCTTTTTTAAATGTTTTTGAAAGAAGTCTCTTCTGCTCACCAAGGCTGCATTTGTTTGACAAAAAAATGTGACATTTTATTACAATTTAAAAGAACTATTCTATATTGTGATATATTTTTGAATGTAACTGATTGCTGTGATCAAATCTGAATTATAAAACGGAGAGTTCCGGTCCTTGATTCTGATTGGCTGAGCCGCGTTCGAAGCTGTTGTAAATTACTCTACAAACATACACCTGTCTTCTGATTATTATCAATGTTGGAAACAGTTGTGCTGCTGAACATTTTTGTGGAAACCGTGATACACTAGCATTCAAACGTTTGGGATGATCACGAAATTAATACTTTTATTCAGCAAGGACGCATTTAAGTGACCAAAAGTGACTTTCTACTTCAAATAATAAATATAATAATATATAATAAATAAATAAAAAATAAATCCTGCTCTTTTGAACGTTGTTTTCACCTGTGAATCCTGAAAAATAAAATCTATCCACAAAAATATTGTGCAGCACAACTGTTTTCAACATTGATAATAATCAGAAATGTTTCTTCAGCAGCAAATCAGCATATTAGAATGATTTCTGAAGATCATGTGACACTGAAGACTGGAGTAATGATGCTGAAAATTCAGCTTTGATCACAGAAATAAATTATATATTCACATAGAAAACAGCTATTTGAAATTGTAATAATATTTCACACTATTACAGTTTTTCCTGTATTTTTGATCAAATAAATGCAGCTTTGTTGAGCAGAAGAGACTCTTTCAAAAACATTAAAACATCTTAATTATTCCAAACGTTTGACTGGTACCGTACATGCACACAGCTTTTTTTGCTCTGAAACTATAAGTTAATATGTGGACACTGACGCTGCTGTGCTGTGACGACCGCAGCGATGCGACACGGGGGACCGTGAGACCCTGAGTCAGACGCCACGCTCGTGCCGGCGTCGTTGTCACTGTCGGAGGCCATGGCGAAGGGCAGAGCCTCGAAGTTGGCGCTGATCTCCTCTGAGAGGTCCATGCAGAGATCGGCGGCGTTTCGGTGAGCCTGTCCCTCTGCGTACGCAAACAACCGGCAGCCGAAGTTTGCGTGAATCTTCGTATTCTGAAAAAGAGAATCACAACAATTACATAAGCACATTTTTGAAGGCTTAAACCAATCATAAAAACAGATGTCACTGAATATCCCAGAACTGCAGAACCCAGGAAAACATATAATATTGATGAGTAGATATGATGCATTATATCCTATCAGGTGCCCTTCATTCTTTATTTACACTCTGCAATCTGAAATGTATTTGTCCATTTTACTTATTTGTCTTTTTGAACATCTTTTTGTCTTTCCATCTAATTTATAATCTCTCCTTTTTATTCATTAGCTGTATTGGGTGTAACAGTCAATGCTGTTATTCTTAATTAGGGTTGGGTATCAATCCAATTCCGATTCTGCTTATCGATTCCAATGTGGTTAAAAAAAAAATTCAAACATTTAGATGTCAAAAATATTTGTGACCCTGCAGCACAAAAGCAGTCTTAAGTCGCTGGGGTATATTTGTAGCAATAGCCAACAATACATTGTATGGGTCAAAATTATAGATTTTTCTTTTACGCCAAAAATCATTAGGATATTAAGTAAAGATCATGTTCCATGAATATATTTTGTAAATTTCCTACCGTAAATATATCAAAACTTAATTTTTGATTAGTAATATGCATTGCTAAGAACTTCATTTGGACAACTTTAAAGATGATTTTCTCAATATTTGGATTTTTTTGCACCCTCAGATTCCAGATTTTCAAATAGTTGTATCTCGGCCAAATACTGTCCTATCCTAACAAACCATACATCAATTGAAAGCTTATTTATTCAGCTTTGACAGATGATGTATAAATCTCAATTTCAAAAAATGTACACTTATGACTGGTTTTGTGGCCCAGGGTCACATTTATTCTGTCTCTCTTTTTGCAAAACATTTAATTGCTGCTGAATCCCATGATGAATAGCAAAAAAATCAGCAGGCTACATAAATTGACTTTTTTTATAAATGGAGGTTGTAGTTCTCTCAAAATTCTGAAGAAAAAAAAATAAGACAAGTAAAAATCTCATGTAATTAATGAATGGAATGATTCAATGACTCGCTCAAGATTCACTTGTTTCATTACTGGATGAGTCAGTGTTTTTGAATGAATCTCTTGAATGAATGATTCAAAGACAGATACATTTTTAACAGCCCCTTTTCAGCACCTAAAAAAAAAAAAGATGTGCACACAGGAATTGATTGGCGGAATTTAAATTTAAATTTTACAACAAGTATCCGATTCTGGAATTGGAACTGATTTTCGATTCCCAACCCTATTGTTAATGAAATTGTCTTTAATTGAAATAAAGCTGAAATACGATAAAATAAAATGTAAATATTTGTTGAGTTACATTTTAAAATGTAAATAAAAATGAGAAATGTTGCCTTGGCAACTAACTGAAACAAATAAAATTAAATTACTAAAATTAAAATGAAGACTGAAAATATACAAGTTAATTCAAAATATTAATAAATACTATAGTAGTATACAAATAGTACTACAATGACACTGAAAATTGCTATTGTTGCTATTGGCTTTTTTTCCTCCCAAGCATATCCATTTGAACCTATAAATGAACTGAAACTGATTAATTATCTTTTGTGTGCAAACCTTCTTCTGAATGTGGACTACAGGCCACATGCCTCCGGCCACGTCCTCCAGATAAGGAGCGAGACGCTGGCCGCAGTAGGTGAAGTACACTCTTCCTTTGGGAGGCTGGCCGGGGGGAGGAGGAGTGCCTTCCAAACGCTCCCAACCGATGCCTGCAACATCACCTGTGTCCAAACACACCACCCAAACCATCACCACAGCAGCTCCAGAACTATGCATGAACAAACAAACTTTGGGATTGATCAGAAACGGTGGCATTTACGATGTCAAATGTTCGCCGGCCAACGTTGTGGAGTACGTTACTATGCAGAAACCCCATTAACTTTACATGTCATATTCTATTACATAAACAGCACAGCTTTTTTCACTTACGAGATGCTTTTTCTAACAAGTATCGGCATGTTTTTGTACATTGGTTTTTACTGCAAAAATTTTCTTCTTCTTCAGTATTTTTGTCTTGTTTTCCAGTAAAAAAAAAAAATTGAAACATTCTTAAATCAAGATTAAGGATGCTCTTTTTAACCGGTTGACCGACCGTAAGAATTTTGACCGATTAATACAATCAGTTAAACGTTTTTTTTTTTTTTCAGTAATTTCTCAAAATATTTAAGAAGGTTTGCTGCATGGCTAAAATACGAGTCGCAAGTCGCGTATAAGTCGCATTTTATTATTTCATTCAGAAATAGGCCTAATGCCGACGCAAAATGTTTACAAACATTATAATAAACACTGTAAACATAGCTAGGCTATTTTAGCTCCCCTCATTCCACAACAAATCCTTTCAATTAACAGTATTTAGAAAAGAACAAGAATTAAAAATATAAGAAGCTAGCCTATAGCTATATAAACGACAAGCCAAAACAAATTCAAATAGGCTATAACGAAACTGAAACCAATGTTGCGTCTGTCATTCGACACAAAATCTAATGTTAACGTATTCACGATGTATTTGAATGCCAAAATATTATTTATTATGTAGCCTAGGCTTCAATGGCGTTCCAATATCCACGTAAAACAACATGGTTTGCATAACATGACGGCAGTACGGTGATAACGTACACAGATTTAGCTAAATATTTAAACTGAGCAGTGTGGTTTTTCCATATGTTTGACTGACTGTATTTTATTATGATAATGAACAGACTACATTGTCAAGGTAGCAAAGCTTAACTGTGTGCGCGCATGCAGCGCCGGCGCAATCACTTGAATTTGTTCCTTCTAACAGTGGAAGCAACTACTCCTTTTAGTCATAAAGATAATCAGAATTGTAAAAGGTTTGCCTTTATTTGTGTACATTCACAATAAAAACAAATCTTTGTGCTTTTGTAAAATAAGCCTATAAGAAAAATAGGATGCCGCTTTCTGCCGTCTTGGTTTCCTTTCACGCAGCACAGAAATGAACCGAAACTCTGAATACTAGGCTACTTGTTGCACAGTTTTTCTTTCGTTTTCTTAATATATTATTTAAGTAAAAATATATTTCTCGTATAGGCCTATTTATCGTTATATATATAGCCTAGCTTTATTATGTTTTTCTCCGCTCGCAGAAGCGCTGCATGTGCGTGATGTTGATATGAAGACCATGTGAATCCTCACGTTCTGTTGTTTGCTGCTTTTTGCACATGTAGCCTAAAATTAATCCCCGGGAAACAAATGTTAGTATTTTTAACGGGTCACAGACACGTATCCTTTCTAATTTAATTAAATTCAAATTTAAAATAATCTTGTCGGTTAACAGTTAATAATCGGTTAACGAGCGTCGGTTAGGAAAAATAACCGAAATGAACATCCCTAAACTGTAGTGTATTATTCAATTTTACATTTAAAGTTTATAAATTTTAAATTAATTAAATTACAACTGACATACAAGTTTTCATAGAAATGACATTAAAGTATATTTTAGTTTAACATTATTCCTTGTCAGTACATTCAGCAGTACTTTAACCATATTTCAAAGACAATAGAAGTAATTATGAAATTACATATGAAGATGTACTACTTAAGTCCTACTTAAAGGGTTAAGTGGGTCAAAAAAAACTCTAATGTTCAGCTAACTGCATTTAATTTAATTTTAAACTACAAAATATTTTCATCTAATTGCACTTAACATGGAATTAAATGTCTGAAAACATTATCTTCCGTTCATACATGTATTTTTAAGTATATTATTTCAGTAACAGTACTCTTCTTTAAACTATACTAAAGTGCACATCTTTTCACAAGGGTTATGAAAGCTAATAGCTTGTAGAACTGCATCTTTTAACATTAATTCAGTTCACTTAAAAGTTCAATAAAAAGTAAAAATGAACATTTTCTCCACACAGTAATTCTTAAATGTATTTATGTGGAAGTCACATACAGGTACAGTGGAGAGAAGCTTCTGAAGGTCTTCCTTGGAAACGGTTTGACATTTGGTGATGAGCAGACATGACTCACGCACTACAGTCTTCAAGATACACTGCAACAGTTCATCTTTCAGCCTGCAGGGGAAGATGGGAGAAAGTGCTTGCACATGACAGACATTAACCACAAAATCATCTACAGACATTAGGGCCCTATCAAACACTCAGTGCAATGCGGCGCCAGGAACGACGCAAGTGTTTTTTGCTAGCTTCAGCCTGACGCAGTTAGCATTTTCACGTCCTGCGGCACGTTGTTTAAATAGCAAATGCATTTGCGCCCATCTGTTGGGCGTGCTGGTCTGAAAACGAGGCGTGTTCAGGCGCATTGCTATTTTGAGGCATCTGAAATAGACTGCGCCATTGACCAACTAAAACCTGGTCTAAAGTCAATGGTGCAGTATTTTTTTTATTTAAAGTGCGTGTTAGTAATATGCGCCTATAGGCGGGTCCACAATGCGCTCTGCTTATTACACACACAGGTACGCACAGCAGCACACAAACATGCCAAATATTAAAAATTAAAGGATTGCAATGTAAAAGATTATTATTGTGTAGGCTACATAAATATAAAAATGCCTACATGTCATAATGGATAGTCATTGCATGTATCAGATATGCATGTTTCATCTCCGGAGACGCGTTCTGTCTTTGCGCTTGCAAATTCCGCCGTGTAAATAGCGAATTCGCCATGGCACGAGTGCAACTGGTTCTTAAAGGGAATGGGAGATGAGACTCTGATTGGTTTATTGCACGTTATGCCCAAAACACACCCATTACTCATTAAGAGAATAGGGACAACCCTTTTAGACCACGACGTGGTTTTTCCCGTCGTTAAACTAGCAAAAGTGGATTTGGACAAGCCCTAAGTGCACCTGCGCCTTGCGCTTTAGACCATGCACTTACATCGTTTAAATAGGGCCCTTACAGTCAGTTATCAAGGTGAATGACACCACATTTTTGTTGAGATGACAAGGATAGAACCTGGGTTGTGATCACAAGAAAATTAATGTACATTTTTAGCAGTAGAATAAAATACAGAAGTGAACGATTTAAATTTAACATAAGCACTTTCCGTCTGAAGAGTAGTGAAACTTGTTACCTGTAGTGGTCATCATCCTCACTACCAAAGCGGTTCTTCTGTAACTGGTTGGCAAGGTTGTTTAATATAACATCACGCAATTGAGACAAACCACTGTTCTTCTCCCCTACAGAGAGAAAAACAAAAAACATAGAAATTATTGGCATATGTTGCTCATCAATATGAAATTGTTCAATGCTGACTTGACTTATAATTATGTATGATTTCTGTACTATGTCTGTCTATTTGCAATTCTCACCCTCTGTGAAAACAAATTTGAGCAGGTTGTTCAACTCCGATTCGCTCTGGTACAAGGTGTTTAAACCGGAGCTAATGAGAATAAAGAAAAATGGTTTATAGTTGTTGCAGATATTGAGATATTCTTTGACTTTTTGGATTTTCTGACTTCATTTTAAGGCTCACCTGATGGCGAGACACACTTCTCTTTGTATTTCCGGCTCTATCTGATCGTGAGGAGCCATGAGTAACTGCCACAGCAACAGTCCAGAACGCTTCACACAGTCTCGGTTCTGCTCTGCATTTAGATTAAAAAACTGGAACACAACCTGGATTTAAAAAAAAAACAAAGTATTTTTATAATATTTTTTTTCTGCATAGTTTCCGTTAACAAAGTTACCACTACTACTGAAAAGCTTCATCAAAATTGACTAAAAGTCATATAATATTCTAGCGAAACCCCACCTGAAAGACGACCAGAATGCAGCGGATGATGCAGGTGTCTCCGTTAACCATGGCCTTCTCCATGACGTCACATATGAAGCTGAAGTGACAGGCCTCCATGGGCTGCTTTCCTATGAAGGGTCCCAGGTGCAGATTACTGCTGGCTTCCAGCAGGTTGAGCTGATGGATGCACATGGCGCCAACATGATGGAGCAGCTGGTTTATCACTTTGGATGTGCCTATCATCTCTTCTGTCATTAAGAGTCAAAAACATATTATAGGGAAAATGATACAGATCATTTCTGCACAAAATGTCAGCACATCTAAACAAAAAACAAAACAAAAACTGTGTAGCAAGTGGCCTAAAACGCGCTCACCCTTGTGAAAAATAAGTGCACTTAATTGTATTGAATGTGCACTTGTAGTATACTTAATCTTAAAAGTATATTTAAAAAAAACAATGAAACTGTTAATGTTAATGACATAAAAGGCCACTTAAGTGACTCTTTCATGACTGTTTCTTAACACACTTAAGTACACTTTTAAGAAGTGACCTTTATAATAATGTCAAATTTATGTTTTAATAATCCTGTCATGTTTTATAGTACACTTATTTTGATGTCTTGACTAACAAACTGAAGCACATGTAAAGCACTTGATTATTATTTTAACTGTAATGTGTTATGTAATATTACATTTAAAATTAATATATTTTAAATGTACTAAATTGCAACTTCATCGTTACAAATGTGTAATTACAAATAGTGTTAAAAACACAAGACATAGATATTGTAGTTCATCACAAATGCTTGACAGTACATTCAGCAGTACCATATTTCAAAGACAACAGATGTACTTAAGTCTTACTTAAATCGGTCAAAAACACACTAGTTTTTGTTGAAGTTCAGCTGATTGCATTTAATATAAATTTTAATTATAATACATTTCTACTTAACTGCAATTAACATGCAATTATGTGTCTGAAAACATTTACACTTAAGTA